CCCCACTTTTTTACCTCATCAAAATTTGTGAGACCATCTTTCTCCCTTTCTTATTTTTGGCGTAATCGACGGAGAAAGAGGACCATAAACCGGTCAGGCGGGGAAAAGGAAAATACGCCCCATTTGTTTAGTATTTGCCTCTCCGGATTAGTCCCCCTTTGCTATGAGCCTCTCTTAGCTGTAAGCTTTGACGAAGTGCAAGGGGTGCCGGCAACCAATCGTTGCTCAGTTAACCGGCATCGCAAGGAGTTGCTCCAGGTAGATTAAACACGCGAAGAGATAGCTACCCCCGTGCGAGGAAGGTCAAAAGAAAAAATAAATAAATAAAATAACATAAAATAAAGTAACAATTTTAACCGACCCGACGCAGTTTAACATTCCATTTTGAAGTAAAACTTTCTCTACACGGAACGGAGCCCAAGGTTGCGTGTCTTATGCGTAGGAAGGGAGAGGATAACGGGTGACGAGTAGTCCTTCCGTTTAGCGAGGTACCTCCGTTCGTCACGTCAGCGTGAAACTTCATTCTGCACAGATATTCTAAGTGTTACTACCTTTTCCCCCACCTCGATGAAATGAAAAGAATGAATTTGTGTCGTCCCCCTATAAAGCGTGAACAATGAGTGATGATGACTTTTTCCAAGACAAAGGTAGCAGCTCGTTACAATACATCAAGTGCAAGACCAGCACAAAGATTGATGACATTTTGAAGAGGCGGAGAAATAAGTTAATAAACGGGGGTGACGGTGAACGAAGCAGAGAAGAGAGCCCGAATGAGGCGTCTTCCCCAAAATATAACCCACATGACGGAAAACAAAAGGAACACCACGGCGAAGGAAGCAGACATGGAAATGATGAAAGGTACCCGAAATGGGGAGAAAAAAGTGACAGTTACCACGGGAGCAGCAGCTACCAACTCGAGGAAGTGAACAAATATCTGACAAAAAGGCATAGTCATGCAAACCTCCTGGATGACGAAGGAGAGCTCAAATTGGGAAGGAATTACACACAACAGAGATACAGTCTAGGGAAGAAAAGTTTCACAGAGGATTCTATTAAGGATATTTATTCCCAGGATGAGAAATTCAGAAAGGGGAATATTAAAAGTTGCATCAATTTGTCCACCTTCGATGATACAAAAAGGAGCCAATTACGAGTGTCAAAATCGTTGCACCATTTAAACCTACAACGAAGGAAAAAGAGTAGCAGTTCATACCTTCCGCATAATGGGGACGAAACAGTACCTTACGCAGAGGACCCCCTGGGGGGGAACTTAAACAATATATATAAGACTCCTAGTACAGAGGTCCTTTTGAGGGAGATAAGAAGCAAAGAGGATGATGACGGCAACATTCTTCACGACGGTGACAATATCGAGGGGGAATATCAGAACGGTTATGATGAAAACAGGGAAGAAATTTTCGCAAACTTGAATAAGATTTACCTGAATGATGTCGATTTAAATAAGACGCCAAGTAAGAGTTTCTCGAGGAACTATTTCGAGTACTTAAAATTCGAAACAGCTGGGAAGATGAATATGAGCGAACTGGAGACTCCTGCAAATTTGAAAGACGAAAAAGAGGAAGAGGGAACGAACACCCCATTTATTACGTATTATTTGGCTGGGAAGACAAGCAAAAGTGGACTTGAGCAGAATGTGAATCTAGACTATCCGTGTGATGATGAAAAAGGTGAAGTTGTCGTCCCCCCTGGGGTGGAAGCACAAAAGGGTAGTACCATTTATTTGCCAAAAGAGCAGCGAAACATACTCGAAGAGTTAACTTTGAAAGGGGAACAGGACAAAAACGGGGATAGCCATTTCTTTACGAAGGAGGAAGGCCCTGTCGTTTCCCATTTGGATGGGTTTAAAAGTATTCTCTCTAACCAAGGGGATGACGCCCAATATAGAAGCAGGGACAAGGCGGGGGGCGAGAGTGTGACCCTTCTCAAGCTTGCCAGTTCGCAGAAGTACAATTTTGTGAAGACTGAAGCGGAATACAACGACATGTTGAGGGAAAGAAGTAACCAACTTCAAATTGGAAAAGGTAGCGCAACGACTACTGGAAGGATTGCAGAGAGTAGCAACGTAAATGTTTTGGGAAATTTTGTCTCAAACAATAACGTAAGTTTTAATGACAACATTTTTTCGTCAAACCAATTTCACATAATGAATACGAAATCGTTTCGGGACAACCTGTTCGTCGACTCCAAGCAGTGCGACAGAGAGAGCACCATGCCGGTGCAGAGGATGAAGCATAGAAGTGACACGTTACCCCCCGGGTGTGAGCTGAGAAGAAGTCTGACTTTAAGAAACATGCCGATATCTAATTCAATGACGGAGAAACAAGGCTTCCATGATCTTCCCTCTGGGGAGGACGCCCCACTTAGAGGAGACCGCAATTATGCCAGCCCATGGAATGATAAAATAGAGACCCCCGATGACAGATCCCTTGGTGTAAGCAAGAACCCTTTGGTGGTTAATTCAATGATGCTGCAGAGATCTCAAACAGGAATCAACCAAATAGACCAGTTTGCAATTCATCGGAGTACCAGTTTTGGGGATAAAAAAAGAAGCCCCGACTTCGCAAGCAGGTTGGATAAGGACCCTCACATAGATGTGTATGTCCGTGAATACAGCAAAGGATGTGATAACCCTCCGTTTGGTTTTAATTCTTTAAAAAGCAGCACTGTAAAGTTAGCCAGCCGAGAGGAAGACAAGCATAGCAGGTGGGGCCAAAGTGAGCATAGCAGAAACGCGGGTGACTCCACAGAGGTGAGTAATGATATCAGTTACAATGTCCCAAGGGGCTATAACGATGTGAACAAGTTGGATGCAGACGAGGGGAGATTAACCCGAAGAAGCGATCCTTCCAACTCAAAAGACGGAATGATTTTCACCAAATTGAGGAATCTGCACAAACATAGTGATGATGAGAGCAATGGTCTTCACAACATAGAGAAGTACTTAATCGAAGGAAGAGAAAGAAAAATTTTTTCCAACAGTTCTGAGAATGTGTATCTGATGAATAGTCATTATAACTATGGGGGGGATGGAACGTCAGATTATGCGAGCCAGGTTAGGAAAAAAAAAAACCTCACCGTAGATATAGGGGGAATGAATAAACATACGTGCGATGGTGTCGGCTTCTTCGATATAAACAATCCAGATGAATTGCACTCCTTTGAGAAAGCACACACGGGGCATAGTGAAAAGGGCGGTGTAATGTACAGAAGTGTGGCCAGTAACAACTCCAATGCCATTATTCCTTCTGATGGAATGACCAATGTACAGATGCCTGAGCGCAATGGAATCAGCTTTTATAGTGGCCCCTTGGTGGGGAGAGAACTAATTCCTGTGGGAAACAGAAGCAGTGTGAACAAGTTAGGCGAGACAGCCGATTTCGGAGGGAAAGAAAGCAGTGATCTCTCCGACTCGAGAAACACGGACAACACGATTAGGATTATATCCACCGAGGGTTACATTTCTGACAGGAGGGGCGAAATCATCGACGGGCGTGACTTGAGGCAGTACTGGTTTGACTACATAAATAGCAGCATTGGTAGCGTCAATGCAAATGACATACGGGGGTTGATATTTGGCAGCTCGCAGGGTCGTATCGGTAGTAAAGCTGCCAACAACCAGATGGGGCCCCCATCAAATCAGATGCAACACTCTCCGTGTGCAGTGCCAGGGGACGTCTCAACGAGCCGCATTAGTGAAGACGCACTGGCACAACTCATCCGGGAAAAGATAAAGGACAGCATAAATGACGTAGTGGAGAAGTTACTGAATGAGAGGAAGAACCTGGACATAGTGAGAAAGGATCTTCTGAACGGAGTTGAGAAGGAGCCAAATGCGAGTGATGCTTCAGAGGGATACAACAACGGGGGGGAAGGCAGCGGGGTAAAAAACAACAGGGTGTCCTGCAGTAGCAGCGTGAAGTGTGAGCAGGGAGGGGTAGACCAAGATGTCGCCCCAGTTAAAGGGGTCGCAAAGGAGCTCAGAGGGAAAGGAAGCAATCCTGTTTGTAACGACGGAGTGACTCGAACCGCAGGTGAGGCACCAAGTAGGGAACTCGACCAGGAAAAGGGCACCACGAAGATAGGACGTTGCTCTGAAGAACATCAAGACGAGGAGCATTCAGCACAGGGCAGTCAACACCTGGGAAGAGAATCAAACAAAGAGACAGTTCACCTGGATGAGGAAGACATGCAAGAAATTGAGAAGCTGAATAACCATCTCAAATTGAACAAAATAAAAAAGTCAGTAAACCTGCAAAAAGAAGACAAAGAAAAGAATCAAGTGAAATGGAAAAAACTCCTTTATAATTGTATAGACATAATTTACTCTTTGACGAACGAAAATAATGCGAAAAATAAAAAAATGAATTCCCTCTTAGGAGAAATAAACAAGCTGAACGAATATGAGAAGAAAATAGAGCATCTGAATGAAGAGAATGAGAAACTAAGAGTAGAACTTATGCAAAAGAACGAACTTGTGAAAAAAAAAGACATCAAAGAAAGGACAAATTTAAATGTGAAAATCGCCGACCAAGCGAAAAAAATTGCCAATTATGAGAAGGACATTAACATATACAAAAATAAAGCCAACAAACTGAATCACAAGATAAGTAACAAGGACAGCGAAATGGATAAGTTGAAAAAGAAGTACCAGCTAGTTTTGGACGAAATTGAAAAGTGCAAACAGGATGCAACCGCTACCTTGAAGCAGGTACTCAACAAGAAGCACCCCACTCTGGTCGATAAGCAGTGCCTAGACATTTCCAAGTATTACGAGGTTGAGATGTGCATGCTTAACAAACAAATCAGAAATTTGAAGGACCTCCTTAAAACTGGGACCAAGGAGAAAATCATGCTCAGAAAGAAGCTAAGCGAGTGCTCCGAGGGGAGGAGCCTTCGGGGTGGGCATCCCGGTGAGCACTCCAAGGGACATTCCAACGGGAAGTCCCACGCCGATTCGTATTCCCATTCGTATGCCGATTCGAGTGCCCATTCCGGTGCACACTCCAGTGATGATGCCGATGGGGAGGAAAGCCGCAGAAAGGCCGCCCCCCAAAAGGGTAACCCAACCCAGACAGACACGAGTGAACACACCAAGGAAGGCACGTACAAAAAAATGTGTCAAAATTTATTCAACGAAATGAATGAAATAAAAAAAAATTTTGATAATCAGAAAATTTTGTATGACCAAAAAATTGAACAACTGGAGCAAAAGCAGGAGCTGCAAAATATGAAAAATAAATTGGACGCATCGGAAAAAATTGTAGAAGTGTACCAAAATATTTTTCGCGAAAATGTGAATTATATAAAAAGTGATAACTTGCAAAAACGGGATTTCAGTCAACCTACGGGAGAGATGCATTCCCAAGGGGACGGAAAGAGTTACGGCCACCTGCAGAGCGGTGAGAAGGATAATTTGCCCAAAATGGTGGATGCCGTTAGCTTGGCTCAACACTCCAATGGAGGGAGGAGCTACGACGACTTTGGCAAATCCTCCGTTGCATTGTCGAGGAAGGATAATCCTAATAGTCAGATGAATGCAACCTTCACGTCTTGTAATATGCCCGGGGCGTCTGCGGAATTCACCATGAGCAGGCTCCAAATGGGGAGTGAGTCAACGGGTGGCCACATGCTTCCTCCCGGGGTCAATAGCGCCGCCTGGGGAAGCGTTCCCTCGGTGAGCGGCATTGGTATGGTTGGCGATCTTGTGTCAGTCGACACGCGCAACCCGAACGCGAACACGCAGCACAACTACCTGAATGATTTTGTAAAGATGTACCTAGAAAAGAACCCCATCAGTGAATCAAACAATGGGTTCCAAATTAGCGACTTGACAAAATGGAATCAAAGATGCACAGAAAATGTGTCAAACAGTGAAGACAAAATTAATCACCTACATGACACCTTAATGAGATTTGAAAAGACAGAATTGGTCAACATATTCATAACGATATGTAGCGAATTAAAAAGTGACAATATTTTTTTCGTAATCCAGTTTGTAAAATTTTTGTCCTTCATTGTGTATGAACAGTTCCCCTTATTCTCTTCCTTCTTTTACAACGTCGCCTCGATAATTTCGATAAATTCTACCAAATTTGATGAATACATAAATGTGATCAAGAAATGGAAGAGCCACTACGTGAATGGGCAGAAGTATTATCTCTTCCGGAGAAGTGTGCTTTTAATTTTTCAAGCAGATTTGAAGGACGTCAGAAGGAGGGACATCGATGGGGCTTGCTTGAAGCTTGTCAGAAGTTTGTACGAGAAGAATCTGGAGATGTCCAAATATTCCAATGTACGGCAAGCCGGCTCGCAGAGCGCACCGCTTCTGCGCCGATTTTACACCGACTGTACACCGCTTCTGCACCCCCCCTACACCGCTTCTCCACCGCAGGACTCCTTCGAGAAGGCCGAATACATAATCAACAAACATTCGAAGGAAATCATCAGCAAAGTCATTAAGACGTACATGAACCTGTACAGCATTGCCAAAATCAGCGACATCATCCCGCACATGAATTCGATGAACTCAAAGGTGCGCGAGGGGAAGGCCCATGCCGTCGCGCAGACTCGTGACAGCTTAGCACATTTTTGGTAGACAAACCGATTCTCGTCTTTGTCCCCACACATGTACACACGTTACAATTTCGCCACCCCCCCCTTTTGCAGCTCAAAACGCAGTCCTACTTTGTCAGGTCCATATCATCCTGCTTGAATTTGAGCAAAACGGATAATTTTCAGGAGGTTCGACGGATGGCACGGTGTATACTGGCGCGCAGATGGCCCCCCATCCGCTGCTGGTTCTCCCTTTTGCCGCCTCTCCATATTACCACTTTTCCATATTACCACTCCTCCCTATTATGGTTTCACCTCTTTTCCGCATTCCTATCTCTGCACTCCCCAACAGATCGAGCGGAAAATAAAAGAACTGGCGGCAACCAAGGGGATTAACGAAAAGATAAAGAACAGGTAGCGACTCAAAGCGTTCGAAATGTTGGACGGCCTGGGCGCATTGGACACCTTGGGAACTCCGAAAAGGAGAGAAACTTGAACGTACATATAATGCGCAGGAGGGACGCGCACAAAATAGGGCAACATGAAAGGGGCAGGTGCCCCCTGACTTGTGTCTCTCTCTCCTTGGTCTACCTACTCATTACACATTTCCCCCCCATTTTGGACTCCCCGTGCAGAATCAACGTAAACGAAATAGACGAATATTTGGCAGCGTACACAATTATGGGCACTCTGAAGAAGTACTTGAACGTTACACTCACCCAGGACCTGTTGCCCTCCATCTCGAAGATGATTCAGAAGAACAGGTCATCCCAGTGAGGGAGGCTGTATGGTGAACCCCCATATTTCACCTTTGCGCCACGTCCCATTTGATCATTTTTTTTTGTTACACCTTTTGGCTTTCTCCCTTCCTTTTTAAGTTTATTTTTTTTTCGTTTCCACGTACTATATATGGTATGTGCGTTATATGTGTCCCTGTTTGGCGATTTTATCTTAATTCCCTTTATTCATTCTTACGCATTAAGCCTTCGTTTGGCGTCCTCCACATAGGACCGCTCATTTTTTTATTTTTTTTTTGTTCACTCTTCAAATAAAAGTGAAGTGTTATTATGAATTATTTATATCATCCTTTATGAATCTCTGAAGTTGACGTTCTTTTTTTTTTGTTTTTTTTTCTAACTTGTGAAATTATTTTTTTTCTTTTTTAGAAACCAAATGGCATTATGTGAAGATGCGATGTGTTAATGGAACTGATCTATGCACAGCTTCGTAAATCACGAGGGGAACGTTCACGGGGGAAAAAAAAAAATATATATATATATTTATATGTCTATTTGTATATGTATCGATCTTTTAAGAGCTGTTGAACGGTACGACTGATGAAACGGAGGTATCTCATACATGACTCTTACGAAAAGTAATTTACAGGATGTACGGAGTCGGAAGTGTGGTTCGGGGTTCGCATTTTCCTCTGTGCTGATCAAGATGCGGAGATAATCATGATGATGACTTCTGTACAAAGGTGACTCTCTTTCGCTCCCTCTTATTTGTTTACATAGCACTCTTGATAATTTCAACAAAGGATGGCTTCAAGGAAGCATTGCCAACTAGGAATCCATCAATATCTTCCTGCTTAATGAGGGATGCACAATTTTCAGTATTAACACTACCCCCATATAGAATTCTGATCTGGTTAGCATTTTTTTCTCCACATTTTTCTTTCACAATATTTCTGATTTCTTTATGGACCTCTTGGGCTTGTTCAGGTGTTGCAGTTTTGCCGGTCCCAATGGCCCAAATTGGTTCATATGCCAAAACAACATTATCGAAATTGTCAATTAAATGGACAAAGCTGTTAACTTGTTTTGTTATTACGTCGATGGTTTGATTTTTTTCCCTCTGTTCCAATGACTCACCAAAACAGACAACAACTTTTAACTTATTTTTTAAACACTGCTGCAATTTGTCTTTTACATCTTCATCCGTTTCGTTAAAGAATTTTCTTCTTTCAAAATGTCCAATGATTACATATTCGATGTTCAGATCCTTTGCAATTTCTGCGCTGACTTCTCCTGTGTAGGATCCATTTCCGTACTTGGACACATTTTGTATGCCTGTGTGAAACTTTGGCTTCAGCAAGCTCTTTGCAAGTTCATAGTGCACGTTCACGGGGAAAACGACAACGTCTGCAGTTGGGGTGGGGTTCGGAAGTTGAGGTGGAGCTTCCGTTATGGAGCAATTGCCACGGAAAAATTTCCACGAAGCAATGGCAACGGAGCAATCACCATTGCTGCGTAAGCGTCTACATCATCATCTGCATCGCCCCGACGCAGTGGCTCTCGCGGGACTTACCCAGCTTGGCGGGGTCAAAGTCCAACTCATTAAAGCTCGCCGTCAGGGCCTTTATGCTTTCCTGGGTTCCATTGCATTTCCAATTGGCTGATACGAAATATTTCCTCGTCATTTTGTTCCGTGGATTTAGACATTAGTAATGAGTACGGGGTGGCGTGGATGTTACAGGGGCCTTCAAAGTGGGAAAAATGAAAGTGGTGTCAGCATTTTAGTGAGAAAATAGGTGATACGTTCCATGCGTAAAGACGAAATCATTTTACCAAGTACACAGTCGCTCATATGGTAAGCACGCACTCGCTCATCTGATGGGCACACCGT